TTTGTGGGATGTGGGCATTGCTGGCTGGCCAGCATTTCTTGCCCATCTCTAGTTGCCCTTGAGAAGGTGGTGGTGAGCTGCCTTCTAGAACTGCTGCAGTCCTCCTGCTGTGGATTGACTCACAGTGCCATTGGGGAGAGAATTCCAGGATTTTGACCCAGCAACAATGAAGAAATGGCGATATATTTTAAAGTCAGGATGGTGCGTGACTTGGACAGGAACTTGGAGGAGATGGTGTACCCATGTGTCTGCTGCCCTGGACCTTCTGGATGGAAGTGGTCGTGGGATTGGAAGGTGCTATCTGAGGATCTTTGGTGAATTTTTGCAGTGTATCTTGTAGATGGTACACACTGCTGCTACTGAGCATCGGTGGTGGAGGGAGTGGATGTTTGTGGATGTGGTGCCAACCAAATGGGCTGTTGTGTCCTGGATGGTATCAAGCTTCTTGAGTGTTGTTGGGGCTGTACCCATCCAGGTAAGTGGGGAGTATTCCATCACACTCCTGACTTGTGTCTTGTAGATGGTGGACAGGATTTGGGGAGGCAGGAGGTGAGTTACTCGATGCAGGATTCCCAGCTTCTGGCCTGCTTTTGTAGCCACTCTGTTAATGTGGTGAGTCCAGTTGAGTTTCTGGTCAATGGCAACCCCAAGGATGTTGATAGTGGGGGATTCAGTGATGGTAACACCATTGAATGTCAAGGGACGGTGGTTAGATTGTCTCTCATTGGTGATGGTCATAGCCTGGCATCTGTGTGGCGCAAATGTCACTTGCCCCTTTTCAGTCCAAGCCTGGATATTGCTCAGATCTTGTTGCATGTGAACATGGACTGCTTCAGTATCTGAGGAGTCACAAATGGTGCTGAACATTGTGCAATCATCGGCGAACATCCCCACTTCTGACCTTATGGTGGAGGGAAGGTCATTGATGAAGCAGCTGCAGATGGTTGGGCCGAGGACTCTACCCTGAGGAACTCCTGCAGAGATGTCCTGGAGCTGGGATGACTGACCTCCCACAACCACAACCATCTTCCTATGTGTCAGGTATGGAGCATTTGCCCCAATACCCATTGATTCCAGTTTTGCCAGGGCTCCTTGATGCCACACTCGGTCGAATGCAGCCTTGATATCAAGGGCTGTCACTCTCACCTCACCTCTGCAATTCAGCTCTTTTCTACATGTTGGAACCAAGGCTGGAATGAGATCAGGAGCTGAGTGGCCCTGGCAGAACCCAAACTGGGCGTTACTGAGCAGGTTATTGCTGAGCAGGTGCTGCTTGATAACACTGTTACTGACACCTTCCATCATTTTCCTGATGATCGAGAGGAGATTGATGGGGCGGTAATTGGCCGGGTTGGATTTGTCCTGCTTTTTGTGTACAGGACATACTTGGGCAATTTTCCACATTGTCGGGTAGATACCAGTGTTGTAACTGTACTGGAACAGCTTGGCTAGGGGAACGGCAAGTTCTGGAGCACAAATCTTCAGTACTATTGCTGGAATGTTGTCAGGGCCCATAGCCTTTGCAGTATCCAGTGTCTCCAACGTTTCTTGATATCACATGGAGTGAATCGAGTTGGCTGAAGACTGGTATCTGTAATGCCGGGGACCACTGGAAGAGGCCGAGATGGATCATTCACTCGGCACTTCTGGCTGAAAATTGCTGTGAAAGCTTCAGCCTTATCTTTTGCACTGATGTGCTGGGCTCTTCCATCACTGAGGATGGGGATATTTGTGGAGCCTCCTCCTCCCGTGATTTATTTAATGGTCCACCACCATTTACAACTAGATGTGGCAGGACTGCAGAGCTTAGATCTGATCCGTTGGTTGTGGGATCACTTAGCTCTGTCTATCACTTGCTGTTTTCACTGTTGAGCGTGCAACTAGTCCTGTTTGTTGGCTTCACCAGGTTGATACCTCATCTTCAGGCATGCCTGGTGTTGCTCCTGGCATGCTCTCCTGCACTCTCCATTGAACCAGGGTTGATCCCCTGGCTTGATGGTAATGGTTGAGTGGGGGATATGCCGGGCCATGAGGTTACAGATTGTGCTGGAGTACAATTCTGCTGCTGTTGATGGCCCACAGCGCCTCATGGATGCCCAGTCTTGAGTTGCTAGATCTGTTTGAAGTCTGTTCCATTGAGCATGGTGATAGTGCCGCATAACACGATGGAGGTTCTTCTCAATGTGAAGGTGGGACTTCGTCTCCACAAGGACTGTGCGATGGTCACTCTTACCAATACTGTCATGGACAGATACATCTGCAGTTGGCAGATTGGTAAGGATGAGATCAAGTATGTTTTTCTCTCTTGTTGGTTCCCTCACCACCTGCCACAGGCCCAGTCTCGCAGCTATGTCCTTTAGAACCCGACCAGCTCGATCAGTAGTACTGCTGCCGAGCCACTCTTGGTGGTGGACATTGAAATTCCGCACCCAGAGTACATTTTGTGCCCTTGCCATCCTCAGTGCTTCCTCTGAGTGTTGTTCAACATTGAGGAGTCCTGATTCATCAGCTGAGGGAGGACAGTATGTGGTAATCAGCAGGAGCTTTCCTTGCCCATGTTTATCCTGAAGCCATGAGACTTCACGGGGTCCGGAGTCAATGTTGAGGACTCCCAGAGCAACTCCCCCCCGAATGTATCCCACTGTGCCGCCCCCTCTGCTGGGTCTGTCCTGCCGGTGGGACAGGACATATCCAGGGATGGTGTTGGTGGTATCTGGAACATTGTCTGTAAGGTATGATTCTGTGAGTATGACTATGTCAGGCTGTTGCTTGGCTAGTCTGTGAGACAGCTCTCCCAATTTTGTCACTAGCCCACAGATGTTAGTGAGGAGGACTTTGCAGGGTCGACAGGGCTGTTTCTGCCGTTGTCTTTTCCGGTGCCTAGGTCAATGCTGGGTGATCCGTCCAGTTTCATTTCTTTGAGTCTTTGTAGCGATCGGTACATCTGAGTGGCTTGCTAGGCTATTTCAGTGGGCAATGGAGAGTCAACCACATTGCTATGGGTCTGGAGTCATATATAGGCCAGACCAGGTGAGAGTGGTAGATTTCCTGCCCTGAAGGACATTCATGAACCAGATGGGTTTTTACGACAATCGGCAATGATTTCATGGTGATCAGTAGATTCTTAATTCCAGACATTCTTTTTTTAATAATTCCACCATCTGCCATGGTGGGATTCAAACCTGGGTCCCCAGGACATCAGCTGGGTTTCTGGATTAATAGTCTCGCGTTAATACCACTAGTATCAGTGGTCAAGGATTTTGGCCTTAGATCTTCAGGTAAACATCTTCCAAGGCAGACTTCAGGATACACAACAATTGCAGAATCGCTGAGCAGAGGCTGATAGCCAAGTTTGGTACCCACGAGGATGGCCTCATCTGGGATCCTGCATTCATGTCACACTACAGGTGACCCCACCACACTATACACTCTCACACACACACACACACACACATTCTCACACAATTTATAGACTGTCAGTCAATGTGGCGTTTTGTAAATTCCTACTTTAGAAATAAAACCAGTCTGACTCCAAACTAAAACACAAACAGATTCTAAACACGCCTCACACTTACTTTTTGCTGAAGAAGGGTCTAGGCCCGAAACGTCAGCTTTCCTGCTCCTCTGATGCTGCTTGGCCTGTGTTCATCCAGCTCTACACCTTGTTATCTCACACCTAACGTGCATCGCCTGACCTAAAATGTCACCTCTTCTTTACGCTGATAAAACCTTTATTTAACTCAGGACAGCGACATGAACGGAATTTGGGGATTTACATATACATATTAATCAATTAAAACCTTCTGACTAATTCAAGATTTAACAGCATCTTAGGTTTGTTTAGTACATCCTCATCAGTGGTGTGACCCTTTGATGTTTTCCTTATAAATTCTGTGTTGGATACTCCCTCTCTCACTAACACCTGAAGGAGCGAGGCTCCGAAAGCTTGTGTTTTCAAATAAACCTGTTGGGCCATAATTGCGCGTGATTTCTGACCTGGTCTTCATTAAACCAAGGGGCGGGGCTCGAAGACCACGAGTGGAACTGGAGGACTACGGGGGCGGGGCTGGAGGTCCACGGGGGCGGGGCTGGAGGTCTACGGGGGCGGGACTGGAGGACCACGGGGGCGGGGCTGGAGGGGCAGGGGCGGGGCGGGAGGTGCAGGGGCGGGAGTGGAGGTCTATGGGGGCGGGGCTGGAGGACCACGGGGGCGGGGCTGGAGCACCGGGGGGCGGGGCTGGAGGTGCGAGGGGCGGGCCGTCACAGCGTGCGGCCGTTGCCATGGAGCCGGTTTAGCGGGAGGGAGCGGAATCGAAACAAGTGGCGAGAGAGCGACCGGGTAAATATCGGGGTAATTACCGGGTAAATATTATGGTAAATACCGGGGGCACGGTGCGGCCCCGCTCCGAGTGGGCCGTGTTCCCGGGGCCGGGATCCCGCCGCATTGCAGCAGCTGCCGCGCCCGGGAACGAGAGCCCAGCCATCCACCGCCCCCCCCCCCGCGGGACATGGAGGTACCTCCACCCCAGGGACGGGCAGAGACCCGAACTCCTTCCTGTGTGAATCCGGGGTGGGTGGAAGAACCTGTGAGAGGGCAAGGGCTGGGTAAGGATATAGGAGGCAAAGGTGAGGGGGTGGGGATTGTTAGGGGTGGTGGTCTGGGGAGTAGGGGAGAGGCTATGCTGTGTGTGGGGGGAAGGGGGGGGGGGGTGTGGTTGGGGTGGGGGGAATGTGTGTGGGGACTTGGGGGGATTTCAGGGGTGGGGAGTGTGTCTGGGGGATTTGGGGAGTGGGGAGGCGGTGTGGGGCATGTGTTAGGGATAACTGAAGCTCTGGTGCAGTCACTCTTGAGGCAAGTTCCAGTGTGAAGTTTGATTGTTTGGGTCAGTGGGCAGCTGCTTCTGAGGAATTGGGAATTGAGTTGCTTATTTTTGGGAATGTTGTTCTCCCTCTGAAACGAACGGATTACATTCTCTGTTCCAACAATTCTGCTTCAACAGTCTAAATGGATGACAGGCTCCTGGATGCCAAGAAAATTTGCCCACTCGAAGGTCAGAGCTTCAAACAGTCAAGGTCTGAGTAACCCGGTAAGCTGTCTCCTTCCACTGCCCTGGCCTCTGTGACGTTCTGCTGTAACTTTAGAGGCACTAGGCCAAGCTGGTTTCAATCTTGGCACCTTTTTTTCCTTGGAATGTGGGTGTTGCTGATTAATAGTTAGTGCCTATCCCTATTTGCCCTGAAAAGTTGGGTGAGTCCCTTCTTGAACCACTGCAGTCCTTGGGGAAGAGGTACACTGTGTGTTGTGAAGGATTTTGGTTCAGCAAGAGTGAAGGCACCACAATAAGTCAGATGGTGTGTGGCTTGGAAGGGAACTTGAAGGAGGTGGTGGTAATTCTATATTCCCTTCCCCTCCTAGATGGTAGGGGATTAGGGATTTGGAAAGTGTTGCCAAAGGAGCCTTGTTAGTTACTTCAGTGCATCTGGTAAATGGTACAGAGATAGTAGGAACTGCAGATGCTGGAGAATCCGAGACAACAAGGTGCAGGGCTGGATGAACACAGCAGGCCAAGCAGCATCATAGGGGCAGAGAGGCTGACGTTTCGGGCCTAGACCCTTCATCAGAAAAAGGGGAGGGGAAGGGGGTTCTGAAATAAATAGGGAGAGAGTGGGAGGCGGATAGAAGATGGATAGAGGAGAGGATAGGTGGAGAGGAAACAAACAGGTCGAAGAGGCGGGGATGGAGCCAGTAAAGGTGAGTGTAGGTGGGGAGTTAGGAAGGGGATAGGTCAGTCCAGGGAGGATGGACAGGTCAAGGGGGCGGGATGAGGTTGGTCGGTAGGAGATGGAGGTGCGGCTTGAGGTGGGAGGAGGGGATAGGTGGGAGGAAGAACAGGTTAGGGAGGCAGGGATGAGCTGGACTAGTTTTGGGATGCGGTAGGGGGAGGGGAGATTTTGAAACTTGTGAAATCCACATTGATACCTTTGGGCTGCAGGGTTCCCAAGCGGAATGTGAGTTGCAGTTCCTGCAACTTTCGGGTGGCATCGTTGTGGCAAACTGTGTTCATCCAGCCCTGCACCTTGTTGTCCTGGTAAATGGTACACACTGCAGCTACTTTGTCAGTTGTAGAAGGTGGTGGGTGAGGTGCCAGTCACACTACCTGTTTTGTCCTGGATGCAGTTGAGTTTTTGAACATAGTTGGAATTGCATCCATCTGATTAAGTAATAATATTCCATCACACTCCTGACTTGTGCCTTGTAAATAATAGATAGACTTCAGGGAGTTAGGAGGTGAGTTACTCACTTGCTGCAGGATCCTACATTCTGACTTAATCTTGTAGCCATAGTATTAATATGGTAAGTCCAGTTCAGTTTTTGGTCAATGATAACCCCCAGGATGTTGATAGCATGGGAATTCAGTGATGATGATGCCATTGAATGTCAAGGGGTGATAGTTACATTCTCTCTTGTTGGAAATGGCCATTGACTGGCATTTTGTATGGCGCAAATGTTACATGTCACTCTTCATAGAATCGTACAACACAGAAGAGGCCGTAGGGCCCATTCAGTCTGCACAGGCAAAACTACTCTAAATCTACACTAGTCCCACATTCCGGCATTTAGACCATAGTCTCAAATGTTATGACATTTCAAGTGCTCATCCACCTACTTTTTAAAGGTTGTGAGGCTTCCTTCCTCAATTGTCCTCCCACAGGTAGTATCTTCCAGATTCCTACCACCCTCTGGGTGAAAAGAGTCCTCAAATTCCTTCTAAACCTTCTGTGTTTCACTTTAAAATTATGCCCCCTCCACCGTGTTTTTGATCCTTTGAATGAGCTACTTTCTTCCACCTTGTCCATGCCCCCTCATAATCTTATACACCTTGATCAGGTCTCCTCTCAGAAAACAGCCTGAGCCTATCCAGGCTCTCTTCAAAGCTAAAATGCTTCATCCCAGGCAACATCCTAGTAAATTTTTGTCCCAAACCTAGATGTTATCCAGGTCTTTTTGCAGCTGGATGCAGACTGCTTCAGTATCCAAGGAGCTACAAATGGTGCTGAACAATTGTGCGATCGTAAGTGAACATCCCACTTCTGACTTTATGATGGAGAGACGAACATTGACAAAGCAATTGAAGATGGTTGTGCCTAGGACACTCCCCTGAGGAACTCCTACAGAGATGTTCTGGAGCTGAGATGACTGACCTACATAACCACAACCATCTTCCTATGTGCCAGGTATGATTGAGATGTGTAAAATTGAAGCGCATCGTCAGGGTAGACAGGAAAAACCTTTCTCCTTAGTGGAGGGATTGAAGTTTGTGGGATTTAAGTGAGGGGCAGGAGGTTTAGAGGAGATGTGAGGAATTTTTTTTTCCCTCCCAGAAGTGTTGGCAACTGGAACTCACCACCTGTAAGGGTAATAGAGGCAGAAACCGTCATAAATCTTTAAATGTGCACTTGCAATGCCAAGGACCACAAGGCAATGGACCAAGTGCTGAAAAATGGGATTACAATAGTTAGATGGTTGTTTTTTGATGAGTGCTGACTCATTGGGCTGAAGGGCCTTTTTCTGTGTTGCAGACTTCTATGATTCTAACCAGTGAAGAGATTTCCCCCAATTCCCATTTAATCTACTTTTTATCTTTGGTGCCACACTTGGTTAAATGGTTCCTTGATGTCAAGGTAGGTTCCTCTCAGCTCTCCTCACTTGTCTCCATTAATCATTCAGAATCCCTAAATTTGAGTTCATCCAAACCCTCACTTAATTGTAATAAAAACCAAAAGAACTGTGGATGCTATGAATCAGGAACAAAAACAAAGTTGCTGGAAAAGATCAGCAGGTCTGGCAGCATCAGAAGGGTCTGAGTTCTGAGGAAGAGTCACTGGAACCGAAACGTTAACTCTGATATTTTTCCTTCACAGATGCTGCCAGACCTGCTGAGCTTTCCCAGCAACTTTGTTTTTGTTCCTGATTTACAGCATTCGCAGTTCTTTCAGTTTTTATTATAACACAGTTTCTGCATTTGTAGAACACCATATCAATGTGGGCATAGGATCATAGAATGATTTGGCAGAGGATGCCATTTGGCCCATTGTGTCTATGTGGGCTCTGAAAGAACTGTCCAATTAGTTCCACTGTCCTCTTTCCCCATGGTCCTGCAAATAGGTTGTTTGGAAGCTAGTGCTTCCATTGGCTCAGAGGCCGGGTTGCATTTCCCAACTGCATTCTTGTTCCTCCCTCACTGCCCAATTCTTCCCTCAATGCCCGGTTCCTCCCTCACTGTCCGGCTGTCTCCACGCTGCCTGGCTCCTCCCTTGCTATCCGGCTGCCCCCTTGTCCCTCCCATGCCATCTGGCTGCCTCCACACTGCCTGGCTCCTCCCTCGCTGCCCTGCCCTCCTCCCGTGTTCCCTGGCTGTTCCCTTGTTGCCCCTGCACTAAGTGACTGCCCCCTCACTCTAGTTGCAGTTCATGTTAGTGCCCTTTTTTTTCAAAAGATGTATTTGGATTTGTCACAAAGCATCCCTGTTTAGATGAATGACAGTTCATCTCTTGACGTCAGTGTAATAATGATTCACCATGGCAACTGATAATGAGGTGCAATAAGATAAGCAGATGTGTTGCTGGTGGCTGGGAGTTTGCTCACAGAGAATCTAGAGGCGTGTAGTTTCAGGTGGGCTGGATGAGCCTCATCGCAATCGAAAGCAGTGCTGTCTGCATGGTAATATCAGCTGTATATTGCGACTCAAGCTTGGGCTGGGAATGGGGACAGACAGGGATTGAAGATCACATGTTGAATCACTGTGACCTTTCGATCTCCATGTAGCTGCAGCTCCATTCATTATTGATCGTTTTGGATTTGCCGTGGTGTTGTGTTGCTGCAAAGTGTTCTGGCAATAAGGTTTATCATATGGTCCTCTCTGTGAGTGCAGGCTGATGAGTAACATTTTCTGCATGACTCCTGAAAGCAATGTGTCTGGCTTGTACTTGTCCAATGGAAACTGCAATGGCTGCTCTGTGCCTTTAAATTGAGTGAGTACGCAGACTGCCAAAGGCATCTTTTCCCCTTGCAAACTGACTGCTTGATGCTTGTATTCTGCTGACCTGTTCAGCAAATGCAGTGCGCCTGGTCAGCTGCCCAATTACTGTGCCATACTCACTAAGAAACTATTTTGCTGAGCACTTTTAATAGCCCTAGTAGCTATCTTGCTAATAATTTGGATGGTCTTACTCCACTTGGGGTGTTTAATATACTTTACACTTTTTAAAAAAAGGTAAATATATTGTATTTTTGAAACTAGCATAGAACCAGATCTCACTGACCAATAGAAACAGCGCCCTTCCCAATCATGCTGCTACTTTTCAATTTCTCATTGGTTAATAGTATCAACACAACCTGTTAAATCTTGCCGCCACTTCCAATCCCAGACATGATCTTCCCTCAATTGCACTTGCTCAGTTTATCACACCCGCTGGTGTTCACCAATTTTAATTGTATTTTTTCACTTTATTGTGTATCGTACGTTCATATCTATGATGTATTTAGATCTTTTCTGATTGCATTTTGAATTTCCTTCATCCACAGTATTTTACTTTAGCCAACATATCAATTTGTACTTAAGCCATGTTTCCTCTGAATGTTGTCCTTTGTATAATGCTTTTGTGTCTTGTTTAGTTATAATATAATCTTTCAAAGTTTCCTAGATTCAGGAGTCATCCCTCTGGATTGGAGAATTACACATGTTACTCTGCTTTTAAAGAAGGCAAAGGAGTAAAACCAGGGAATTAGCAGTTAGCCTAACATTGGAGGTGGGAAAATTGTTGGAGGCTATACTTGAGGATGGGGATAATTGAATACCTCGATAGTTTTCAGTTAATCAGCGAGAGCCACCATAGGTCATGTCTTATAAACCTCATTGAAACTTTTGAAGAGGTGAAAAGATAGTGGACAGGGAAATGTCTATGGATGTTCTTTATATGGACTCCCAGAAACCATTGGTAAAGTCCCACATACGAGATTGTGTTAACTGAGGTAGAAGCTCATGGAATTAAGGGCAAATTATTGACGTGGCTGGGAAATTGGTTG